TAGCTTATTATAAAGTGAACACCCTTGTATACTACACATGTTAAGAGTTCCTCCAGAAAGGGTGCCTGAGTGGCTCAGTCGTTAAGCATCTGCCTTCAGCTCAGGTCATGATCCCAGGGTCCTGGGATTGAGCCCTGATCGAGCCCCGCATCGGGCTCCCTGCTCAGCGGGAAGCCTCCTTCTCCCTCTCACACTCCCCCTGCTTGTGTTCCTTCTCTAGCTGTCTCTTTCTCTGTCAAATAAATAAATAAGATCTTTAAAAAAAAAAAAAAGAGTTCCTCCAGAAGCCCTAAATATGTTCCTGCTCAATCCCAGCTATCTCCTGACCCTAGCTGTAGTCAATATTTTCACTTTTAAGGTAATACCAATTTATAAAATATAAAAAAACCTTTCATTATATGTTAATAACCCAATTCTGTATCTCCAAATACTATGGTTTAGTTTTGCCTGTCTTTTTAAAATATCTTTTAAAACATTTTTACATTATGGAATTTTCCTTTAATCTCTTCCTTGCATTTATTTATTGAAAATACTGGATCATTTGTCCTATAGAGTTTCCCACAGACTGAATTTTACTGATTACATTCCCTTGGTATTTTTAACATGTTCCTCTGTTCTTTGTATTTTCTATAAATTTTATATGGATCCAACCACTTAATCTTTTGACTTCTTAATTTCATTATTACATGCATACCTCATTTTATTGTGCTTCATTTTACTGAGCTTTGCAGATGTTGCATTTTTTATAAATTGAAGGTTTGTGGCAACCCTGTGTTGAGAAAGTATATTGGCCCCATTTTTCCAACAGCATTTGTTCATTTCATGTTTCTCTATCACGTTTTCGTAATTCTCACAATATTACAAACTTTTCATAATTATTAAACTTGTTATCTATGACCAGTGATTATGACTTTCTGAAAGCTCGGATGATGGTTAGCATTTTTTATCAATAAAGTATATTTTAATTAAGGTAGTACACGTTGTTTTAGGCGTAACGCTATTGCATGCTTAATATTCTACAGTATAGTGTAAATATAACTTTTTTTTTTTTAAAGATTTTATTTATTCATTTGAGACACAGAGATACAGAGACAGAGAGAGAGCATGAGCAGGGAGAGAGGCAGAGGGAGAGGGAGAAGCAGGCTCCTCGCTGAGCCAGGAGCCCGATGTGGGGCTCGATCCCAGGACTCCGGGATCATGACCTGAGCCGAAGGCAGACGCTTAACCAACTGAGCCACCCAGGCGCCCCTAAATATAACTTTTATATGCATTGGGAAACCAAAAACTTCATTTGACTCACTTTATTGTGGTGGTCTAGAACTGAACTTATGATATCTCCAAGTTATATCTGTATATTTTTCATTTTTGTACAATTTCCATTTGATTCTTTTTTTAAAAAAAGATTTTATTTATTTATTTGAGAGAAAGAGAGAGAGCATGAGCAGGGGGAAGGGGCAGAGGGAGAGGGAGAAGCAGACTCCGCACTGAGCAGGGAGCCTGACATGGGGCTTGATCCCAGGACCCTGAGATCATGACCTGTGCTGAAGGCAGACACTTAACTGACTGAGCCACCCAGGTGCCCCTCCATTTGATTTCTTTAAAAATATTTCCAATCTGCTGAAATTCTTCATCTTGTTATCTATTTTCCTGAACATATTTTTCACAATTATTTTAGAGTAGCCAACATTCCAATAATTTGATCTTTTGTGTGTCTGTTTCTTTTGTTTATTTTTCTCTTTACTTTTAGTCATTTGGTCTTGTCTCATAGTATGCTTCATAATTTTTAATTGACTGATGAGCAAAATTGTAGAAATAATTTGAGTCTCTGAATGGTGTTCTCTTTCTTTCAGAGATGATTTACTTTTGGCCATGGCAGGCAGTTTGACATAAAAGAGGTGATTTTTATCCAACCTAGGAAATCATTGATTAGGACCAGCATTTATTTTCATGAAAGCTGGTCTATTACTTGTTCACCTTTATTCCAGTGGTATAGTCTATAAGAATCCCAACTAAAAACTTAGAATATTTGGGCCTCTCCTCCTAGCAGACCCTATGTTCCTATTTTTGGCCTTCCCAGATTCAAGATTGTTGAAAAGTTCACTCACTTTCTCTGCTTATTAGTTGTTGCCAATAAATCAGCAAAATGCCTTAACAGGGAAAAGTGGTACCAAATGTTGTGTTTACATCTCTAAATTTACCTCATGTCTAGCTTGGCCCTTAAGTCCTTATTTCCTTGATAGCTTTTCAGACACTTTATAATAATTAGTTTTTCTAGTTATTTTTGTGAAATTATTCTAATATAAACTAGTAGCTGGAAATGGATTTCCATTTCCTACCTATGTAACTTTTTATAGACTCCTTTATTTAGCAAGCATTCAAGGCAAAGATATGGTTACACTGTTGAATTGTTTAAGCTTTTAGAGCATTGTATGCAAGAGACAAGGCCTCAAATTTTGTGTAGCCAAGTACATATACTTTAAGGGCAAAAAGACTCTTAGAGCTCCCTGTTTGGGATTGCCTACATATCATTATATTTTGTTTGATCTGTTATTTAACAATGATAAAGAATCTAAGAATATTGCAGCATTATTTACAATAGCCAAGATATGGAAGCAGCCCAAGTGTCCCTCAGTAGGTGAATGGATAAAGAAGATGTGGTATATATTCCACTGGAATATACACAATATACTACTACTCAGCCATAAAAAAAGGATGAGATCTTTTGACAACATGGGTGGACCTAAAGTGAATTTCACTTATGCTAAGTGAAATCAGTCAGAGAAAAATACCATATGATTTCGCTTATATGTGGAATCTAAAAAAACAAAACAAATGAATGAACAAATAAACAAAAAGCAGAATCAAACTTACAAATACAGAAAAAAACTGATGGTTGCCAGTGGGGAGGGGAATTGGGAGCATGGGCAAAATGGGTGAAGGAGAGCAGGAGATACAGGTTTCTAGTTATAGAATGAATGTCATGTGAATAAAAGTACAGCATAGGAATATAGTCAATAGTATTAAAATAGCGCTGTATGGTGACAGATGGTAGCTACACTTGTGAGCACAGAATGATGTACAGAGAGGCTGAAGCACTATGTTGTACACCCGGAACTCATGTAACATCTTGTGTCAACCATACTCAAATTTTCTTTAAAAATTGATCAGTGCTTATTTACTGTCTCATAAAATCAGTGCAATGACTAAAATATTGGCATATCTGTATGAAATGACATTTGTACCCAGTGAAATAATAATGAAATGTACATTGACTTATACCAAACTATGTTCATAAAAAAGAATCTAAGAATCTGTAATATTGATTAACATTAAGCTCTGAAGTTTTTATTTATATATCGATGTGTATATAAAAAGAAATAAAATTTTCTCAAGTAAAGGAGAAGTATTAACAGGTTAACTTCTCTTTTTCTCTCTCTCACTGAAATAGCACTGACTTGGTATTTATTCAAACAATAGGCATCTCTTGATAGCCAACCCAAATATAGGAGTGTATTGTAAAACTGGAAGCAAGCCGCTCAGCAGGCATGGGGTAGGAAAGCCACAAGATACACAAGAAGTCACATAGCATCTCTAAAGCACTAATCTCAAAAACAAGCCTCAAGTATTCCATTATTTTCCATTTTCCCTTAGTGTTTAACTTTTTATAATTTTCTATGTGGTTGTTTTGGAAAAAAAGTTATTAGAATGGCCCTCCAATCCCCTTTCCCAGACATTCCTCAATCTCTCCTTAAATTCTATGGTATACCTCTTTTATTCAATAGATGTAATACTAATACTATTAGCATTACTAATTAGTAATAGTATTAGGTGAAATCCTAGTAGATCTATTACTAATAATAGACATTAATATTCCCACTATAGTAGTGTGTGAAAACTAACATTCCAATAGTATAATAATTTTAAAAGTACTAAAGAAGATCACTATTTAAATCCAGACTTTGTGGTATTCTTTTGTAAATCAAAGACTTACTCCTTAATTTATTAATTTTCAAATGAATAGTCATTAAGCAGCCTATAAATTAGGAATACTTTTCTGTGGTGCCAAACAGCATACTGGAGATACTTTATTTATTTATTTATTTATTTATTTGAGAGAGAGAGAGAAGGAGACAGAGACAGCAGGGGGAAGGGCAGAGGGAGAGAGAGAATCTCAAACAGACTGCACGCCCAGCACGGAGCTGGAAGTGGGACTCCATCACCTGACCCTGAGATCATGACCTGAGCCGAACTCAAGAGTTGGACATTCAACTGCCTCAGTCACCCGGGCGCCCCATACTAAAAATACTTTACTCTAAAATGAAAATTAAATGATCAAAGAATGGATTATGAGACCATTAAAAATATATCTAAAATATCCATGGAATTTATTAAAATTGGGTAACAGGGAGAAATAGATATCTATTGTGAGTATTACCATGCAGATATTATTTGGCAATATTTTTAGTAGCATACGTTTTGGTTTATACATATGCTGGAGTCTTGGGCCACAAATCCTTAAATTACCTTTAATCTGGTTTAAAAAATGTAAATTGGAGCCTGGAGTTACACAGTAATTCTCATAGTCATATATGTAAATTATTTCTGAAATTCTTGAATAGCGCTGTCAATTTGAATCAACACATAAAAACTAATATCAAATTTTGAATGAGAAATCATTACTAATTAAAAAAAATTTTTTAATAAAATTTTTTAATCAAAATGTTTTTAAAAACATTTAATAATGTGGCAGATAATCTTGATGTTGTGATAGTTCCTGAATCATTTCCTTCATTTTTGTACTAAAAAAAACAAGACTTGCCATATTAGTAATATTGCAAAAATCAGCCCTTGCCTAGGCTTAGGATTTATCCTATATGGCTATTTTGAGTCTATTCTTAAAAGAAAATGTCTTTTTCTGCCAGAGAATTCAGTTCTCCATACCACAATATAAAATCCTCGGTATTACATGCCAACAGTGTCACCCAGGATAATTGGATTACCTGTTAAAGCTCCTGTAATCAGGCAGTTCTACCTTTCCTTCAGGCTTGAAAAATTTAGGGTATAAAGCCTCTAAAAGCTCCGGATCATCGCTAATGGCCTGTTCCCAGGGCGACTGATAGTACTTAGGGACAGCCGTGGTGTTGAACTTTTCAGGAGGAATTTCCTTAAGTGGTCCAGAATATCCTTTGGAAAAATATAGCAAGAATAAATAAATACAGAGTGCTTAGGAGTTACTGAACTCCACCTAACATTTTACCATGTTTAATTTTCCAAATGGGGGTGAATTTATGAAGAATGCATCCTTTCTATGATCTCTCAGAAAAGAGTAGTCTGAAACTGTAAGACATTTTTAACCCCTTTACACTTACAGAATTTTCCAAAAGAAACCACTTTTCTCAGTGTTTAGTTATACCAAATCATACAGTTATTTCTTCCTTGATTATCTTAGTATGTGTTTGTTCAGTGAAACTATTCATTTAATTTCGAAAAATTGTTTCCCTTATGTTAATTTATAGTAGGCTTTAGATACCATAGTGAATGAATTAAGTTAAAAATATATATTGAGTGTCTACTGTGGTCTAGGTGCTGGGGAAGGAGCAGTGAAGACAAAATCTCCCTCTTCTGGGGGCTGATTCGGTAGAGGTAATATTTAGGTCTTGTCTATCTTAAATTGCTGAGTGATCTGCAAACCATTAAAACTTCAAAATGGTGAAGTAACTTGTTTCCATTGCCTTAATCAGGCCCCAGTCTTATTCCCTGATGTGCCCATCCCATGTTTACTTTGTTCCTAAAGATTTCTTACCTAACTTTTCTGCTTCTAGTCTCACCTCCTCAACTTCTTCTGGGAACTGGAAATTTTTTGTAAGTGCCATTTAAAAATCACACAAATTTCTGGCATCAACTTTAAACTGTTTTCACATGCATCAAGTGACATTCTTCAAGTATTCAAAAGCAGCTGTGTACTCTCCATCTACACCATTGTACTACCTCATTGTGTCTTTTGCATAATTCTCTTTTCCACGATGTCAAAACCCTTTACCATTTGATCACTCTTACTTTTAGGTTTTTCTGATGCTCTTTCTCTTCTCTAAAATGTTTTCTATTTTCTCCTGTCCAATCATGCCTATCCTTTCTTTACACTAAAGAGTTTATCTCCTCCAAAATATCTTGCTGATAATGCTACCTCTAGGCAGTTATTTGTTTGCAGTAATTTAATTTTCTTTTGATTGCCTCCAGTATCTCATGGTAGTCTCTTCTGATAGACTTCTTTTTTCTGCTTGCCACTTAGTTACTCAAAGCTCTTTTCTTATACTATACATTCTACCTAAAAAGTTCCATTTGTATTCATGGTTTTAATTGTGACCTAAATATTGATGATTCTCTCTCTCTTTTTTAATCTCCAGGCCCTTCTGTTCCACCACCCATTATATTTGTCCAAATGAATATCCCCTGGCACCCTTAATAATCTGTCTAGACCTATATGTAGCCCTTCTTTACTTGCTTCTTCTTTCATGTTGGTTATCTTAGTGAATGCCAACACTACTCTCAGATGCCCAAGGACAGAAGCATTATCCTAAACTTCCTCTCCTTCCCACAGCAAATCACTAAGTATTACCAGCTGTACTTCTTAAGGATTGCTAAAATAGTGGCTCTCAAACTTTGTTTCTGAGTCACTTTGGACCAAATGTGTTCTTCCCTCCAGAGATTTGGCTTCAGTAAGTCTCAAGTACGGCTTGCAAATCTTAGGCAAGGGATTTGCTAACAGAACATTGGGAAAACTTGCTCTGGAAAATTCCCTCTTTCTTCATCATTTCCATTACTACTGCCTTGTTTCAGGCCTTGACCACCTCTTGCCTGGACTTTCACAATAGCCTTCATACTCATCCTTTAGCCCCCAGTCTCTCCCCTGGACCCTCCACACTGCTGCCTGAGTGACCTTTCTAAACTGGATCATGTCATTGACCTCCCTTTCCTAGGTTGCTATAATGGCTCCCCATGACAAAAACCTAGATTACTCAGCACAGCACACATGGCCCTACCCTCATCCAGCCTCATTTCCTACCATTCTCCTCTCACATTTTTATGCCTCAGAACTTGGAGCTACTTGACACTTGTTGTGTCCCCTTATGCTTCTCTACTTGCTCCATTAGTTCCTGTGCCTGGAATGCTCTTTCTAATTCCTGTTACCTGGAAATTCTTATTTTAAGCCTTAGATTGAGGTTACCTCTTCTATTTAGGTTTTCCTGTCTCCCCCAGGAAAGCAGAGTTACTTTTCTTGCTCTTTCCATTTGTATAGTATACATAACTCCATTATCATAACTAGCACATTTTATTTCCCATTCCTTTCCTAAAAGTGATCAGATGTCAGCCATCTAGAAACTGGAAATTTTAGAATTTTATATTTTTAAAAATTCCTTGAAATCCCACTACCCTAATACAATTATTTTACCTTGGTGTATTTTTTCTCAGTTTTTTTTCACCCATAAACATAATGATCACATAACTGTAATTCTAGTATACATTCTAGTATATTTTATTCCTAACCAACTTCTCTTGGAATACTTTTCAATGTTTCTACGTCATGTTTATGATCACTTTAATAAGAGTTTCATAATAACCTACTACATTAAAATATAAAGGGCCTAATCTTTTCACATTTTTTTAATATTCCTGGTTTTCCAATTTCTTTTTATAGATATAATTAATAACTCTTTTCTGATATGCTGAACTATGTACAGGAAAGAATGTGCATATGTTTAAGCTCTCAGATATAATACATTTCTACAATGCTACACGATAACATTTCTTATTTGATTTCAAAATACCGTCCTTAACATAACTGATTTTAATTCAAAGGAACTTAATTCCTGCAATATTATGGCATCATAATACTCTTATTGATCCATTTTGAAAAAAGTTAGCTTTTGGATACATAGCATGTTAACCAATAAAAATTTTTGCTAAATTAGGATAAGCTGAAGTTTGCTTCCTCAATTTGCTATACTTTTCAACTTATCAACCAAGAAGGAAGGATCCATTAGTCTTGTTTCAGGACAAACTACCTGATAACCTCCAAGCTCCCCCTTTTCTTAGTCTATATTACATAGACATTTCCTAATATTTAATAATTGGATATTTAGATTTAAAGAACTGTATGAGTTTATACTTTTAAACATTCTCTTCATATATATAAATATTTATGCATATGTGTATATTTATGACAGTAAATAAAATATATGATATTAAATTATGTACGCAGAGAGAAAGTGAGACAACAAATGTAACATGAACTTTTGTACTGTCTCCTTATGTATGAATTCCTTGAGGGTAGAGATGAATTTTTTTTATTCCTTTTGCAATGACATAGTTTACAATGCTGACCATATAATAAAAGTTCTAACATAGTGTTGAGAGTACCAGACTGACCAACATAAACTTTTCCATATGTCTCTTCACTATTTAAAAAAACAAAGAAAAAACACTCCAAACATTAGAAAGTAAGAAGTTGCCAAATAGTGGTTAGAGCTAAAAGAATATGTATGTATTCTATTCTGTTTTGGATATAAAGTTGATAAGGGAAGAATTAACTTTAGCTAAGTACAGTAGTATCCCCTTTATCCTTGGTTTTGCTTTCTGTGGTTTCAGTTAAAGGCAGTTATCCTAGTCTGAGCCTGTCCCGAAGGAGATGCTCCTCCTTCTGACACATGGTCAGAGTCAATAGTAGCCTAATGCTACGTCACAGTGCCTACATCACTCGCCTCGTTTCATCTCACCATGCCGGCATTTCAACATCTTGCATCATCACAAGAAGGAAGGTAAGTACCATATAATAGGATATTTTGAAAGAGAGAGAGAGAGACCACATTCACATAAGTTTTATTACAGAATATTGTTATAATTGTTCTATTTTATTATTGTTAATCTCTTACTGTTCCTAGTTTATAAATTCAACTTTATCGTAAGTACGTATGTATGGGGAAAAAGTGTTGTATATATAGGATTCGATACTACCTGCAGTTTCAGGAAGCCACTGGGGTCTTGGGTGTATCCCCTGTGGATAAGGAGGACTACTGTACTTTATTATATATTTGGGATTATATCTATCACACTTAATTCTCACAACCCTAGGCAGTGAGATTTGTTTTCCTTATTTTACTGATGAAAGGAACTGAGACTCAGAGTTACCTTCTTTCCCAAAAAAGTAGTAAAATGGGCAGGGATGGAAGGAGCCAGAAGGGTGAACCCAGGTTGGTCTGATTACCTGCTTTTCTGCTTTTCCCCCACAAAAAAGGCTACTTGAAAGCTATTTGAGAACTTTATTATGATGCTTCACTTCAGAGTTCTATGCATTCTAAGTGTGTACTTGGTGTCCTTCAGCGCTATTTTATTATGTCTATCACTTTTTTTCATTATTTTCAATAAGAATGTCTTAATAAATCTAAGCCCCTCAATGACTGACAGTTTATTTATTTTTAAGTAAGATTTAATATGATACAGTTGCTTTATTTACATATTTTCAAAAACTGTTGCTGTTTGAGAAGAATTCTAGAATTGCTTTTGCTAAATTTTTTATTTTGCAAAAATATGACATAGATATTGCTAATTTCAAGATAAAAGTATTTGGACCTTTAAAAAATCTACTTTGTACATTACTCTTGAGGAAATACTTGAAGACACTTGCTGTCAGTTATTTTGAAAAGGTATTGTCTAAATAGATAATTCTTGTGACAGATTTAATATTTCAAAATCTAACAATATTTATGAATAACATATACTGACTAGATAAGGATCTGTTTCTCTTTTAAGATAATAAACAAATATGTAATCTTGAAGAATTGCATTTAAAGTCCTTTAAGGAAGCAGAGAATAATGATAGTAATCTCCACAAGGTCACTTTCATGAGGCATCTGTAAATTTGGTATCTGGATTGAATTCTTGATCAATCAATACGAATTTATAGCCATTTATGACCTCAGTTTCTTAATTTGTAAAATGAGGATTATAATAAATGTATCAGAGTTATTTTGAAATTAAAGAAGACAAGATGTATCATAGCACTTCATAAATTGTAGTCCTATACAAACAGAATTTCAATGTAATTACAAGTGACTCAATTTTTAATATAACAGATGATTGCCAACAAATACAATGAACCATCTGAAAGAACATAGTAAATGTTTTACCTGACTCCTTAGATCTGAATCTTTATATTTATCTTGAACTTAACCACAAAATAGATATATAATGAGTAAAGCCATGTCATTTAGATACCATTTACTAAAGCATCCAAATGACCTGAGTCATATATTTAAGGGCACAGCAGTTTCATTCTACTTATTTTACTTATTGTTTATTTCTTGTTTCTAAGGGAATAGTTACCTGGTGCAATGTTTTCTGGATTTGGGGGACTTCGTGGATCCGGAGTGTTGGGAGGGGTAAATGGGGCTTGCTGTGAGCCACCTTCCAAGTTGCTTCCATCCAGTTTCCCATTCTGCATGGCAATGTTGTGCTGTATGCGATCAAAAGTAAATTCTGCTGAAAACTCAAAAATTCTAGACACACTAATGGAGATACCATATGTGTAAAACTCCATTTGTATATTTAAAATTTAAGTACAGTGCCACTTCCTTGTTTCTTGGGGCCTCAATAATTTATATGTAATTGGTTCAGCTATTGAATGAGAACTTTTACTGATATTAACCTAAGATATGTTTTATGATAACACTCCAGTTAATAATTAATTGAACCTTACTATGTGCCAGGCAGTGTCTAGGGCTTTGTATCAATTACTTAATGTACTATTCACAAAGTCCCTATAAAGGTGAATCTATTTAATTTTTAAGTCTTTACTAATCTAATATTATAGAGCATACTGGCCAAACATTTGGCTTAGTCATTGTTACATTACTGTTTTTGTTTATAATATTTATATTTATTATATTCTTTAATTTGTCTTGTTTTAAAATTTAATCTGAAATTTGAATACCAGCTGTATATTAAAAAATATTAATATTTGAAGCTGCATAGATTTGTAAAAGGAAGAATTTGGGATTTCTAGGAAATAAAATGCTTAAAAGAGATGTTTGTCTTTTAAGTTTTAGGTGAATTTGTTTTACTATTATAATTTAAGATTTATTCTATGACATTAATATGGCACTTTTAAAAATTTGCATTTTAACAGAGAAAAAAGACATTGTAATAGGTGATGTCCTTAGAAGCATGGCTAGGCCTTATCTCTATAATAAAGAATTGTTTTAATTATATCTGAGAAATATGTGTGTTTTATTTTTTTAAAGATTTTATTTATTTATTTGACACAGAGAAAGAGAGAGAGAGAGCACAAGCAGGGGAAGTGGCAGGCAGAGGGAGAGGGAGAAGCAGACTCCCCACTGAGCAGGGAGCCTAATGTGGGGCTCAATCCCTGGACCCTGGGATCATGATCTGAGCTGAAGGCAGATGCTTAACCGACTGAGCCACCCAGGCGCCCCAAAATATGTGTGTTTTAGAAAGAAACCAATCTATCTAAGAAGTACATAAAGTCAACCTTTTTTAACTTTAAAAAGAAAAATTTAGTGAAGAGCACAGCAAATAAAAACCAATTTTGACTTTTCTCTGTGTGACATAAGCAGAAAATATTTTTAGATGCTTTTTCACTTCTGCATTTATTTATACAAGGATATGGTGAAAAATAATTTTGCATTTAATATTTAAATAAAGTTTATCCTCATTTTCAGGCTTTACCCACCCACAGCCACTCTCCAGGTGCTTTTTACAAAATTCACTTTATTCTCTGCAGCACCATGGGTAAAGCTGCTGTGGAAATGAATAGGACACATGTTAGCAATGGTGAGCCGGCTTGTGGAAAGGTGCAAAAAGGCATGAGAGGTAATGTTTGTTAGGTGAGCGCACGGTTTGTTTACTGGGCAGAAGAGTTTACATTTTATTCCATAGGCAATAAGGAACAATTTCTAAAGACTGGTGTAATGCTGTACTCAGAAACATTAGTATTTAGCGTTTGGAATATAACTATTATCTTAAGTATTAGACTTCTTTGACTAGATTAATATCTTTTCTCACTCTGAACCTACACCACCTCTTAAAACATTAATTATAAATAAAAAGCCAGTTGAGATAAATATAGGAATATCATGCATTTAGAATTCTTTTTCTGAGTTCCTGAAATGTGTCCATGAAATGCATTTCACCTAAACTTACAAATCATTCTATCTACGATAATTTAAGAATTATAATACTGACTTTCTTTGGAGACTTTTTCCTGGGGATTCGTGAACAGGACAATCAACTGTTTCTAGCTAGTCACTAATTATCAGGAGACACCCAGTATCTCTATTGTCATTGTTAAGTGTACAAACAAAGCCTAATAATAGTTGGGTAGCAACTTACTTTAGTTGTGACATAAGCCTTAAATTACAGAGTTCCGTCATATGTGATTCCCTTCACGAAAAGTTGAAAAGATAAATGAAAATGTGTTTCTTTTTATTTCAGTTAAGTTGACCCTAAACAAAATAAAACTAAAGCAGCATCTTATAGGTTATAAACATAGAAGTTATAAACACGTGGATAATGTCTATTGTATGATTTCTGTTGAAATATCAATAGAAATAAAAGGATTTGTTTAAAAACCTGTACTATAATTTGTGCCAAAAACATAGAAGTTATTTTTGGCACAAAATAAATATATTTTGAGAATCTCAGTATATTTAGTCTTATTTCTGCATTACTTTTTATAGTATACTTCCCTTTTCCCCACTATTATTTAAGATTTCAAAGGATTTCAAAAAGTCCATAGTTACTAAATACATATGTAGTCTTTACTATAAAATGTGGCTTATTTTCCTTAATATCATTTTATAGTGATTTATAGAAGATAATTTTAATTATCATGAATCATTCTTTTATTTTATTTTTCCTTATGCTCATTTTCTTCATCCATTTCATTTTTTGCCTATTAGTGTAAGAATTTCATCAGTTAGGGACACCTGTGTGGCTCAGTCTGTTAAGTGTCCAACTCTTGATCTCAGCCCAGGTCTTGCTCTCAGGATCATGAGTCAAGCCCTGCATTAAGCTCCACACTGGGCATGGAGCCTACTTAAAAAAAAAAAAAAAGATTTTAAAAAAGAGAATTTGGTCAATTCATGAACTACGGCTTCAAAATTGGCTTGTGTAGCAAGCTGTGTATCTTCATTTCTTGTTAAGAAAGTACATTTCCTGTTATTATTTATGTCATAAGGTTTGTGCGGCTTGAATTTGCCAGTTTCTCAGCAGTGGAATAAGACCAAAACTGCCCTTAATTTTTTAATTTTTAGAATGATGCTTAATATTTGGACAAATGGCATTAAATTACCAGGGAGTTGGTTTATAGTTTCATCTAATGATGTCCTAAACATTATAATAAAATAAGACATGTATATAGAGTTAAATAATTATTTTGACAATATAGCTTGAGGGAAGCAATAAAAGTTCATTTCAGAAAATGTAGTCAATAAATTAGGAAAATGTGATATAAATCATATAAAGATGATTCAAGAAGTAGACTATAAGTAATAGTTGTTTTCTTTCAATGTTATTTTGTTTCCACTTCACTACACAAAAGCTATATTTATTTATCTTTGAGCTCCCAGCATCGTATCTAGAACACAGTAGGCATTCAATAAATATTTGCCAAAAGTATAAATAAATGAGTGGAAATAGATCTGAACCTAATATTGTTTTAAAAATTCCTATCATATTAACAAGGCTTGCTCCATGTTGCAGTCTAGTGCCTTGATAAAGCAAATATATCATTATATAATGTGGCTCACTATTTTCCTCAATGATTTATTATACAGGTCATTTTTAGAATAAACACAGATCATTAAAGAAGGCACTTTAAAGAACATTTGAGTCCATTTTCTTATTTTCTAAATGAGAAAACAGGTCCAGGAAAGCAAAGAAACTTTTAAATTGACTCCAAATTGCATGGCTTGTGGAACAGCTGGGACGGAACCCTGGTCTTCTGGTTTCCAGCCCAGTTTCCTTTGATTATACCATGATAAGTGTCAGTACCAAGAATTCTAGAATTCTGAGAGCTGGGTTTCAATCTTCCTTATTATAGTGTTACTTAAGACAAATTAATACACTTCCTTGAACACTACTTTCCTCATTTCTAAAGAGAGAATAGATTTCATCAGACTTCACAGTATGTTATGTAACTCAATGACATACTAGTTCATTGAATACATTATTATTGTTTATTGCTGTAAGTTAACTTATCAACATTTAATTATTTATTTCAATATGCCTGTTTTGGACTATTTTATTTATTTAGTGTTCAACTTTCTAGGAGTATTGAAAAACTATCAAGGCATATTCTTACATTTTATGTATAATCAGAACATTTGGCCACAGGTTAGTGACAATAATCTGAGATACTGGTGATGAGGGAATATGTCGTGTTCATAAGGACATTTAAAAACTCATTGTCCCTTCCACCAGAACTGTAGTTAAAGCATAGACTTAGAGATATTAAGTATAAGTTATGAAAACTGGATTTATTCATCTATTCAGATGTCTAGACTTGTAGATGACTTCTCAAAGAATTTCCTTAAGCCATCTTATTTTATACTACTCCTTAAAGCTGTTGTTATTATTAAAAGAATATGATTATGTAATTAGATTTCATCAGCTGGGATAGGGATTATTTTAGGCTCACATTGTATTAGCTACAGACATATTTTAATAACTAGATATTAGACATAATTATAGAGTACCATAACATTATATCTATCCATGACTTCAAGTGAAAAATCATCCCTCACAATGTCTAACTGAATTCATAGTTATAACTAAACTTTATCTATGGATGTTGAAGGAGGCTTATTAATGTGAAAAAGAAATTATTTCATTTAAGTTGTCCCCTCATATTTATTGTTAACCAGAGAAACAGATATTTTGAATGACTAACATTTTTGTGTTTGTAGGTGTGGTTGTCGGTTCTATTTTTAGTAATTATGATAAAAGAGCTTAGTGAAACTAGTCTGTTGTAAAGAAGTGAGATGTCCATTCAAAACAACTTATTAGTGATGGAAGCTGGCAAATGTTTGGGCTCAAATTCACAAGTAAACTTACAGACTTCCCATAGCTGTAGGAAGAAACCCTCAGTAAATAAAACTGAAATTTATTGTAGTCTCCACCACCTCTTCAAATTTAGAACCAGTGCTTTGTTCCTTTTTGATTCTTCATGTCTGGTATTTTATTTTTAAAGCCAATCCCCCAAAGCTAGCTGTTTTCTATTATGAACTTTTTCCTCGACAATCTCTCTATGTGACAGTTTAAAAGAACATGGTATTAATGCAATATGTAAAATATGATGTAATTAATTTGTTCATTTGTTTATTAACTTTCAGCTGAGGAAAACTTTTGTCTAAAGAGTTTTGTCCACCTTGGTTTTGTTGTTAATAGGAATCAGACTTCCCTACATGATGTGGCGTAAATGCTTTGAGTGAGAGAAGCTCAACTATGTCTGTAGTTCTCAGGCACGTTTCAGTGCCAGGATGTATTCAGCCAATAAAATGCATACACTCACTTTGTGGAGTGCTGTGTGCTTTGGAAGTGTTTCCATCCCAAACATTTAACTAGTAGAGATAAAACCATGGAAACTTTTAGTTCCACCAATCTCCACTCCCTCTCCCTCCTCTTAGCAGAGCACACCAACTTTTCAGTGCCATATATAATACTTCCTTTGTTTATTCATCTAAGCTATTTATTATCATTAAAAAAAATCTAACAGAATCAACAGAAAAAAATATGTTGAATAAATATGTAGAATACTTGTTTGGGAATCTAGTGATACATATACACTTAGAAATGCTGCCTGTTTATTTAGATACCACATAACCAAGTCATACCTACATTTATTTGTGCTTTAGTTTCATACTGGAAATTTTCAAATGTATATTTATCAGATCTTCTTTGTCGCATCTTAAATAGTCTGGCGCCACGGTTACTGAGATGGGATAGTTCTTCCAACATGATGTCTCTGGGGATGCTGACTTTTTTGCCCAGGTGCATGCCATCTACATCTGTAAAACAACATTCATGTGCATGAAAACCCCAAGGTAAGCATTTTTAAATGCTTTGCTAAATTCCATAATTTATTGCCTGCTATATGCTAGTGTAGTGGGTAAGACAAAGACAACTTACTCAGACTTTGGCTTGAATACTAGTGCCCTTACTTTCTAACTCTTGATTATAGATATGTTACTTGTTTTTCTAAGCCTGAGGCTCCTCATCTCTAAAGTTCAGATAATACCTACTGAATATGCTTGATATGAGGATTAAATAAAATGCTTCATATAAATCACTTAGCTATGGTACCTGGCACATAGAAAGAGTGAATGAGGGGCACCTGGGTGGCTCAGTCATTGAGAGTCTGCCTTCGGCTCAGGTCATGATCCCAGGGTCCTGGGATCAAGCCCTGCATCGGGCTCCCTGCTCCATGGGGAGCCTGCTTCTCCCTCTCCCTCTCCCACTCCCCCTGCTTGTGTTCCCTCTCTCGCTGTGTCTCTGTCAAATAAATAAATAAAATCTTAAAAAAAAAAAAGAAAGAGTGAATGAAAGTTAGCTAATAACACTATTAGTATAATTTAGTGTTTCCAAATTTAATGAGTTTTCAAACAGCACCGCTTATAGTTGTTTTAATAAGTTCTGTTTGGCATCCCACATTTTTATGTGTGTTTCAGCTATCCCTGTTGCTTGAGTGCCTACCCTTCCATCCATGCCACTCCATTTCCTTATCTCTGTCAAAATACCATTCATTCTGCAGCCACCACGAGGAGCCTAGTATAAAGTAGGCAGGTGGTAAGTACTGAATGAACAAATCCTTCCCAGTTCAGCTTAATGCTATTTCTGTGAATCCCTTCACTAAATCTCTATTCATAATTATTCATGCCTTTTTCTTTCTTTCTTTTTTTAAGATTTTATTTATTTATTTGACGGAGCGAGAGAGAGAAAGAGAGCACAAGCAGGGGGAGTGGAAGAGGGAGAAGCAGGCTCCCTGCTAAGCAGGGAGCCTGATGAGGGACTTGATCCCAGGACCCTGGGATCATGACCTGAGCTGAAGGCAGTTGCTTAATCAACTGAGCTACCCAAGTGCCCCTATTCATGCCTTTTTCATATCTCCATAGCACTGAACCACAATTACTTGATTACATTTTACTTAGTTGATGGTTTGTATTTTTTTTATGTTTTAGTCTTTGTGTCCCCCATGCCTTAAATAGAGAAGATGTCCAGTAAATGACTGTTATTTTCTATTTTTAGTACTGAAGGACTTTTTTTTTTTTTTTTAAGATTTTATTTATTGATTTGACAGAGAGAGATAGTGAGAGCAGGAACACAAGCAGGGGGAGTGGGAGAGGGAGAAGCAG